TTCAATGTATAAGATAAATATATATGTGAAAAATTTAACACCAAGTGTGCTGGTAAGAAAACCAGAGCCTATAGGGAATGATCCAGCAGCACAACAAAGCTGAATGAAGGAGGCAGAAGGAGGCATTCTGTGCAACATTACAGGTCAATGCCTCCCTCCAAGTTGACCAGCATAATCGCATCAAATACTCATTTCTTGGAACTGAAGCCAATCCTGAGACGCATAAGCACTTTGAGACATGTAGGCAATATTTTTCCTCAGAGTTTCAGAATTCATTACATACATGCATTTCAAGTACAATCTACCATCAAATTCAGCAGTAAGGTCCACACCAACAGAAGGCCCTCATGGGACAAGGGGAAGAAAAACAGGATTCATGGCGGGTCTTCACTGCATCCTAAATAACTCACACAAGGACACAATTAGTGATTTACAACAACCTTCCTAAGTCTGTGCTTGCTGGGCTGGTTGAAAAGGCCTTCTGAGAACCAGACTTAACCTCAAGTAGTCAGTGAGTCAATACTGAAACAAGCTTATGTTTAATAACCACGAAGAAGTTTTTTTATAAAAATAAATAAATAAATAAATAAAACATCATTGCCCTTAAAAATATCCCAGGATTAACCTTTGTTTTTTAGGAGAAAAGTTTCATTGTTATGGTTCATGTGGTTTGGGGAACAACTCTAGACATAGTATCTTCTGGGAACCAAAACACTAAATTCAGCGCTGCAGTTTGCCATGTTAGTCTGATAACCATTTCACTATTTTTCAAACAAAATCAATAATTGTACTGGTCAATTCAATTTAAAAATTGTTTAAATCTGTCCTAGTCATAACCTCAGACAAATCTAATTTTATAAAATAATTTCTACCACTCCACTCAATTCAGTCCCCAAAGTCAATAAAATAAGACACAGCTAGTAGGCTGTGCTGGGAGAATTAACCTGGAACACAAGGAAGAAAACAGTAAGACAGCATTTCCCTTGGACTACACAGAAAGAAATGTTGCATCCTTTACCTTGGTCAAAGGGCTTGTTGGGATTCCAGTTTCTGAAATAATCATCCTACAAAAGCAAAAAAATATAAAGCAAAGGTCAGATTTCAGGAGGCTTCTCACATAACTGTATAAAAATTTGTCTTTCTCCCCATTTCCCAAAACACAAAGGAAAACATTTAGCTTAGATATCTTTCCCCAAACAGGTATTAAGGTGCAATCAAAAATATCTATTTGCTTTTCAAATTCCTTTCATTCAAACTCTACATCTTAAACATAGGAAACAACTTAAACATTTCACTCCATATGGAAAAGAGCACTGTGCTTCTTGGCTTCACACAGACGCCCAGACCCCTTTCAAGTGAGTGCAACATGTATGCCATCCCTGATACAGTAGGTGATGCCTGGCCACTTTGGCCTATGATTAAGCCTCTGTGCTTGTAATAGCCAATAATGCAACTGTTAACATTTATTTTTATATGGAGACATGTATTTTGTGGTGCACAGTTCCAGAGTTGCAACGCTCACTAAACATAAAAGCACAGACTCATTCAAATGTGAGAACTGACCACTGGCCTATGTTTAGCTTTATATCATTGTTCTGTGTATGTGGAAGGATGGAAAACAAAGCCTGGCCACCCTGATGTATTCATGCCAGGTCTTTCTTGCATGCACCATGTATCAGTTGATCTGAGGCTGGGGAATTCATTACCTTGCAGTTGCCTAGGCCACTGCATCATAGGCATATTAACCTCTTCCCTTCTAACAGCTCTGTCCATCCTCCCAAATCTCTACTGTGTGCTCACTTGATCCTTCCTGGGCCTGCATAAGTCCCATTAGTCCCCAACATACACATACACACACACACACACACACACACACACACACACAGAGTCAGCAAAACTGAGCAGCTTGCCATGAGAAGATGTCTGTCATTCCTAGACATCATCCCCATACCTTAGGGAATTGGCCTCTTTTTAGTTAATATCCAGTTTATAAAATGTGAGGGCTTGGTCCAGAAACTCAGCATGATGCAGACATTCTCACAAAATTAGGCCTCTATTTCTCTTCTGGAGAAGTTAATGTACATCAAAGTGCACAATTAGTTTAAATTATTGTCCATGCTGTCTCCTGCTGCAGTTGATCTCCAGCAAAATCTCCTGTGAATTTTATCAGCCTCTGTGTTGTTCAATTACCTGGCTTTATTAGATCCTGGTTAGTTCACCTAAGCCCTTAAATAGATTGTAGGAAACTGCATTTAGAGTAAAAGCAGAACATATTGCTTCTTGGCCAGTGATTTCACTTTCCAGAGCATGAATAAACATGAACAGGTTCCTCCAGAGCACAGAGATGCAGCAGTAAACTATTTTTAACCCCAAGGAATTGGCCCACTTTGCTGTGGCCTTAATTTTAGGGCCTTACTATCCTTGTACCCAACTGGTTAGGGAGCCTTTGGTATCTACACAGTGAAATAACACTGAGAAAGTTTAAAACAAACTTTTGGCAATATCCCTCGCCATTTTTTATTTTAAAGATAATCTGAATGTTTTGGAATTGTTCTGTCTAAACAAGGTAAACAGCATTAAATGATTTTGCATTAAGGGGATGGATGATATGTAGGAAATAGAACTTGATTTCTCAGTTTGATGGCCACTATAACCTTAGCCTTATACAACCATGCCTACCACCAAGTGAATCTGTTACTACAAACAAAGGTAAGAAGACAATAACCTCAGATGACCTTATTGTTGCCACTAGAAGAAAAAATAACAAACAGTGCATGCATCCTTCTTACCATGGTTCATCCATGCTCTCTTCACATAGAGGAGAGCATGTGGAATCTTATAAAGTGTTTTCTACTGATGTGTGCTGTGTTAGGACATGGAAGCCCTTGGAAGCTTAAGATGTGTGTCCAACAGGACAGGACTGGAGCCAAAGACAAGTCCTTTAAATTTCACATGTCACATTCTCTTTGATGTCAAAGAAAGGTTGTATCAAATCTCAAGAATGGACTATTCCCTAATGATTTCAACATATTTTATAACTTGGATGGAACATGAAGCCTTACTCTGGACTTTGTCATTTTCCAGATTAACTATAATTACCATTTGCACATATTTCTTGGGGGAAAAAAATCACAGTTTTAAGTATAAAGCCTCTAAAAGCAGGTTATCTCCATTAGAACATGTAAAACTCATTGCAAATGTAATAATAGCACCTAATTATTGCGAAATGTGAAAGTACACCTTTAGTGAGAATTCATTGCGCAAAATTAGTTTTGCAAACAGCCCCCTTGACCAGCAAGGCCAAGCAGAGACAGAAAATTATTCCCAGTACCTGATGGCCTCTACCCTGCCTTGGGAAAGTAGAAGACTGTCAAAGCAAAAGCCAATGAGCCAGGAGGTGATCAAACCTTTGTTATGAACTTGGTTCTAGCTGATAGAAGACCCCCTATCAGGAGCCAGCATGACTAAGGCCAGGAGTGTGTATGAAACACTCTACAACAGCCCCTGGTGATGACCACTAAGCACTAGGGAACAGGTTTTGTAGCAGTCATTATGCCAAAAGCAGAGCATGAGAAGTAGGCATTCTCATGAATACTGTGCTACACTTATTAGCCACACAGAAGTTCAGTAGGCTGGGGCTGCTCTGATTCATTCACCCATGTCTGGGAGGATTTCTGGTGAGGCAGCAACTGAATTCATGTGCAAAAAGCCAAAGATAAAAGAAGACCCCATGCAGAGCTTTACCTCCTAAGAATCTGCTCTTTCTTGTGTTCCACCTAACAATCAGTATGCTGGAAAAACACAAGAACAACTGTTGGTAGGCCTGAACCAACACTCTACCAATGCCAAAGGTAGTTACCTCTCCAGGGCCCAAGAGCCAAGTGCTACTAGCTAAGCCTTTCTATAGTCTTACTTTCTATTGGAATAGAAACACGTAGAGTATGTTTTGTTGTTGAATCTTTAAGTCCCCACTCTAGGAAGTAGGAATTACATGAAATTATGTTTCTGCTCTACAGACTTTACAGGTCAGTCCAGCGAAGTGCAGGCCTTTCAGAGCCCTTATGTCTGATCTTGTTCTGGCCTAAGAAAGTTGCAGCCTGTGGAAATTCAGAATGTGGTGAAAGGCAAACTGGACAGGAAACTTTACTGGTAAGTATCTGCTTGAGTTGGCCTCTTGATTTATAATTTTATCTAAAAATGTAACTTTAAAGAAAAGAGTTACAAATATCCTACTAATTTTAAATATAATCCAGACCAAAAAGATGCAGATCTAAATACAGTCATTTATTAAATCCAGTTACTCCCATTACTGCATTTCACAGGTTGAGCACTGAAAGATAGCAATGCTACTTTACATGTATTTTAATGGACTATGCTGCAGACTGTAATTGTGCCAGGTCTCTTACAAGGCAGAGTGAAGAACAGTCTTGCTCTAAATTCTAGCGAACGCTTATGAAGAAAGGCTGATTCCATTTCTCTATACCAAGTCACAAGTAAAACTTGGCCAACTCTATTTTAGAATTGTTAGAAGTCTGGAAGAAACAATCAATTTAAACAGTGGCTCAAACTCGAGCCTACTGACTGATGTCTAAAATCATGAAGCATGCTGGGGCAGCAGAAAACATCCTGAGAAGTCCTGAAAGTCTACATGAAGGCTAGCATAAAAAAGTGATGAATCATTATGTGCCCAGAATGAGGAAAAAGGACAGATATGATACTGGTGGCAAAGCAGAATCAGATACTGGTAGTGGTTATGGCTATCACTATTTCTTTATCCTCTGTAGTTGAGAACAGATAAAACCATATTTTTCCATTTGTCTCACTAACTAAATATTCCACTACATAGGACTGAATTCTATACAATATTGGCTCCCTGCAGCTGTTTGCAAAGAAAATAACTATGGGTTCAACTACTTCAGAGATAGAATCTGTACTGGTCAGCATCAATCGGAAAGAAAACCTGGATGGATGGATGAATGGATGGATGGATGGATGGATGGGGAGTGAGAGGCACAGAGAAAGAGAGAGAGAGAGAGAGAGACAGACAGACAGACAGACACAGACAGAAAGATAGAGATACAGAGATATAAAGAGATACAGAGAGACAGCCACATATATCATATATATAATAGACATTAGTGAAGATATATTAATATATAATAGTCATACTGTAAAACATTTGAAAAATTGTTAAACACAGATTTTATCCTTGTCATTATTCCATAAATAATATGTTGTAACAATTGTTTATAAAGCTCATACAATTTTATTAGATATTATGAGGAGCCTAAAGATGATTTAAAGTATATGGGGTATGTGCTTGGGTTCTATGCTACCACTATGCATAGTTTTGTTATCCTCAGTGTCTCCTACAAATATTATCTGATGATTATACATATGAAGAGCATTCTGGGCATGAAGCACATCTTTAATTCCACATCCTGAGAGGCTGAGACAAGAATATCATAAGTTCAAGTCCAGGCAAGGTAACTTAATTTACAGAGACATTGTCTTAATGCTAAAAAAAAAAAAAAAAAATTAATGGGCTGTGGATTAGGATATAGCTCAGTGTAAAGGTTCTGGGTTTAATACTCAGTAACACCAACATACGCACACAAATGCACACACACACACACACACACACACACACACACACACACTTGGACTTATTTTTATGTTTTTGGCACAGGGTTTCACTATGAAGCTCAGACTTGTAATGATCCTTCTGTTTCATTCTCTTCAGCACTGAGATTACAGGCATATGTCACCATGCCTGGTCTTGGTGGCCAGCTCAGCACACCTAGGGGTGGGGCATGTGGCATGTGGTGCCAGGGATTGACTCCAGGTCTTCAAGCTTACCAGGCACGCACCTGGCACTTAGACCACTGAGTTATCTCCCCAGCCCCATACTTCCACTTATAATGCATCCTTCAAAGATATCTTTAAGTCTGCTTAATATAAAATGATGCCAAAATATTCCTCTTACAATGTAGGTGATTAAGCCCCTTCATATGAGCCTAATCAATGAGAAAGTCCATGATTCCAGCTCATTTTCAGTAGGAAC